CACGCGGGCGGCCCGGGTTCGATTCCCGGCCGATGCAATCGTTTTTGCATTTCCAGGGACATGATCTCTCAGCTGCGATATCTGTTCTTGTTGCACGAATGGATAAATTGAAAGTGGCAAACTGGTCAAGGACCAGTAGATTGAAGCGTACAATAAATGTAGGAAAAGTTGCACATAATAAGGCAGGACAGTGGGAGTTGACTGCTGGAAGAATGCTTTTGGATTCGAGGTGAGTGTCGCCTACATCGTATAATTTTTGGAACTGGAAGGTAATGTATGATTCCTTAGGTTATCAGCTATGGAACTTGTAAGGTCTCGTAGCTATGATCTTACCGAACTTGTCAGTCAACTTCTAGGCGTAAATAGGGAAAATATCTATGCGAATGAAATTGCGGCGAAGTTCAGGTACGTTGAGGTTCTCTGACCTCTTCTTTTTTGTGTCCCAATCAGCAAGCACAGTTTTTCGTGTTTAATTTTAGCTCAAAATCTATTTTCAGTTCTTCTGCTCAGCTTCTTAACCTTATCCAATGGAGCTGGATGGATCCTTGGTTATGCCTACGAGTTGTGGCGCAGATCAATGCGCTGCAGCTTGCTGTACAGATTACTAACATTGTTGGAGGAGTAACGGTAACGAATATATTGTGGTGCTGCTGACGATTCAGTCGATTCATAGCAATTTAGTCCCGAACTTTGATGGGAGGACGAGCAGAGCGTAATGAATTTCTGCTTCTGCATGCGTTCAATAAAGCGAACTATATAGCACCGAACAAGTACCAGCCGACGTTCAGAAAAGGTGATGGATTCAGTCAGCTGTTGTGAACCGTAAAATTATTGCATGCGTATTTAGGAAACCAAGAAAAAGTGAAGAATGACGACGATGAAAATGCCGAGGAGAACGACGTTGAAGTGAGGTCTAAGAACAAGGCACAATACTCTGGTGGTTTGGTTTTGGAACCGAAAAGAGGTAAACTCACCTTTGGAAGGTGTCTGATCAAAAATAGCAATGTTGGCTTGATGTTGTGCTAATTTCCTTTTTATTTTCATCTTTTCAGGACTTTATGATACGCTTATTTTACTGCTTGACTTCAACTCTCTGTATCCCAGCATCATTCAAGAGTACAATATCTGCTTCACGACCGTTTTTCACTCGAAGGTGAGCCTATTCCAACTTGGTCTGTTTAGAGTGCCGATTGCTCTTGTACTTTTTCATATCCTTCTCTTTTTCTATGATGTTTGATCCGAAAAATATGGCTTACGCCAGTTTTCTCCTCTTTATAGGACGGTTTCATCATTTTTGCCACATAGTACCCGCTTACACTGCTTACTGTTTAGCCGCAAATAAATTTGTTTAGGATGGCGATGACCTTCCAGACATCCCATCATCAAGCCTTTCGGAGGGTATCCTACCATGTGAGATTCGCGGACTTGTAGAGAGGCGCAGGCAAGTCAAGAAGTTGATGAAAGAAGCGCCTGAATCCAAGAAAAAGCAGGTCAGTGCATACTTGCTCGTTTGCCAACCATTTTTCTACTCATGCTTTATTTTTAGTACGATATTCGTCAAATGGCTTTGAAGCTCACGGCGAATAGTATGTATGGCTGCTTGGGTTTCAAACAGTCGCGATTCTACGCGAAGCCGCTGGCTGCTTTGATTACATGCAAGGGTAGAGAGGTGAGGTCGAATCTTTTGATTCACTAAAAGCCACTCAAATTAAAACCATTTTTATAGATTTTGACGCATACCAAGGATCTGGTAGAGAAATTGGGTTATTCCGTGGTGTACGGAGACACAGATTCTATCATGATCAACACCAATAGCACTGATCTGAAACAAGCAAAAAAGCTAGGGTTTGAGGTAAGATCCTTAACAAACACTTCTTCAGAGTTATGGATGACATTTGCAGATCAAACGTCAAGTCAACCAATGTCATCGTTTGCTCGAACTCGAACTCGACGGCGTTTTCAAGCGTATGCTGCTACTAAAGAAGAAGAAATATGCCGCTCTCACCGTCAATCCTGACAATGAACTGGACACCAAGAAAGAACTGAAAGGGTTGGATATTGTGAGACGAGACTGGTCGCAGTTGGCTAAAGAGGCTGGAAAGTGAGCATTTGGGTATTATCATGTTGCTGTGCTCATTGGTCATTTTAGCGCTGTTGTGGACCTAATACTTGATCCAAAGTTGTCGCGGGATGAATTGGTGCTTGAGATACACGAGTCGCTGCAAAAACTAAGAGCGAGATTGGATAAAGGCGTGGAATTGACGCTGTTTGAGATCAGCAAGGCAAGTAAAAGCAAGGTTTTTGGTATGACTCATCTCCACTCTCATTTTAGCAACTGACTAGAAATCCCAAAGACTACCATGAGTTGAAATCTCAGCCTCATGCAGCTGTTGCCATGCGACTGAATGAGACTGGAAAGTTTTCGCTAAGACAAGGCGACATTGTGGAATACATTATCTGTGAGGTGAGGACATTTTTTTCTGGTGTATAGGTAACTATTCTGCACTAAACCTAAGACGAAACAGGCTTTGGAAGTTTTTTCCAAAATACATATTTCAGGATGGCACTACAAATTCGGCCATGCAAAGAGCTTATCATCGAACGGAGATAGAAGCTAGGCCAGAACTGAAGATTGGTGAGTAAATATTGTGTTTTTTGTTTGCTCGGAATTATATCATCATTTGGGAAATTTTATCTGTTCAAATATTGACATTAGTTTTGCATTGTAAATCGATAATTATAGATTGTTTTGAGTGTAAACCTCGTATTTGGTCTCAACAGTTTTTTCGTTTAGATCTTTACTATTATCTTGCACAACAAGTGCATCCGGTTGTGTCGAGACTTTGTGCACCGATAGAAGAGACCGATGCTGTGAGGATTGCCGAAGCATTAGGTAAGTTACTTTTTTGCCATTGCGTTAGTCCTTTATGTCTGTTTTTTCAGGCATGGACTCGACGTCTTATAGACGTTCAGCTGCTGCACAGGCGTCTGATAATGCGGCTGCGGAAGACGAATTGGCATGGCAAGATACCACAAATTATGATCGCTGTGAAGGCTTGAAGTTTACATGTCCATCAGTGGGCTGTGGAAATGTACTGGAGATAAGAAAAGCAGTGGAGGAGCAGGTAAACTATTTTTCTATTTTTTTCTCACCTGTTGCACTGGTTTTCATTCAATGAGTGGCGCTATATACTTTTTGCTTTTTTTGTAGGATTCCATGTTCAAATTGTCGTTGGAGACGTGCGATAAATGCGGAACAGATTTATCCCGATACCCTGCGTACATATACAACAAAGTTGAAGATGCGCTGAGAAGTTTTGTTGCTAAGCATCACAGCTCGTTCTTCAAGTATGACTTATTTTTAACTTTTCAATTTGAAAGAGAAAGGTTTTTCTCGATATATTTCACCTTTTTTCCTGTAGATGTGATGATTCTGTGTGCGAATTCCGTACAAGGACACATTTGATGAAATGGTGCCGGGAAGGGCTTGAATGTCCGAAATGTGCTGGGGGTGTGCTGAGAAAAGAGGTAAGACATGGCTGCTGATATTTGTGTTCCACTAAATTTCCTTTTCAGTACTCTGGCAAAGATCTTTTCGATCAACAGATGTTTTTCAAGCAAATTCTTGATGTATCAGCTGCAATGCAAGACATGAAACCGGAGCAGAAACGTGAGTTCTTTTTTTCGATTTTCCTTCCTGAGAAGGCAATTTGCAATTGTTTAGGAAGCATACAATCAAAACCTGGTTTCACATCTACAATGGCATTGTATAACAAACTAACAGCACTTGTTGGACGTTATCTGGAAAATAACGCTTATGGCAAAGTTGATCTCGCTTGTATATTTGCACCCATGTTAAAAATAGAGTCGTAACTAATCACATCATTATCTTTTTGTTCTGTAAAATTTGCTAATTTTCATTTTGACAATTTTTATTTCTATATTTTTTAGCTCTATTAGTGTTATTTTCTTTTGTGTGATCAAGTAATGTAGTTTTTTGTTTGTATATGCGGGTAGTTTGATGCGGTTTACTAAGCTCCTAAATTTCACTAATTAAGCATTCACTCTGATTAGTAGGTACTTTTGTTGATATAGGTAAATTATTTGTACTTGCATTAGCATCACCATTGTGTAACAAAATTTGTAGGTCATAAATCTAATTCATTTATGTGTTTTTATTCTTCTTCACTTGTACACACATGCGGCTATCTCGATAGTAATC